AAGAGATGGGATATGGGAAGAAGAGATCATTTGTTGTATTTTAAGAGAAGGTGATAAGTTAAAATTGTTTATACTTGTTGTGATGAAGGAGAAAGTCATTTCTTTATATATTTCTTTTCTTTTTCTTTACTATATGCTTATGTTTCTCCCTTTTCTTTTTTCTTTCTTTTTCTCTCTTCTGTACCTTCTCTTTTTTCTTTTTATTCTTTTATTTTTTTTTAGTTTGCATTAGTTTTATCTTTGCAACTGCAATTTTAATAAAATTACTGTTTAAAAAAAAGAGACTGAAGCCAGCAGCATAATCCTGCTTGTGTTTCAGTTGGGCCTTACACCAAGAATGCCTGTATAGAGCTACAGTATTAAGTTAATATGAGGTTTGTATCAGCTTTCTAATAGGTTCAATTGTGATGGTTTTCACAGGCATCAGCTATCATTCTACTGCCAAGGATTAGTCAGAAGCCCTGCTGCCTATTCCTTATTTCAAGTATATATTCCTTATCTAGTACCAAACTGTCTTTTTCATTGGCCATTTGCTGTGATGGAATGCAATAGAGCACCAGGTTCTTGAGAAGGAGGGAGCACATTCCAGAAGGGGGACACCAGAGACAGCACAGTCCAGAGCAGGAGCATGGGAAGAGAAAGATAATTAGGATAGCCATGCCCTAGAATCTCCCAGGGTGTGTATCCATTAGGTTAGAGTAGTACAGATTTAGTCTGGCAAGATTCTGTCTATAAGGTATAAGGAATAAAAGAACTGAACTTGGCTGGACTGTTTCCCTGTTGTTCATGGGCTGGGCCTGACTGTTGCAAGGACAATTTAATGCACCACAAATTAAGATGCATCCTAGAGGCAGCATGTTCTAATGTTCTGACAAATATAAAATGTCATTTTCTTTCAGCCTCACAATGTGTTTCTACTTTTGGAGTTCTTCAGGTGACAACCTCTTTAATTGGACTTGTTTTTACTGAAAAAAGAATCAAGCAACAATAATTATTGAAACTTTCTAGCTTTTAGGCATCCTCCAGTATTCCTCTTGTTGCTTGAACAAGTGACCCTGGAGATAGACCCTGATCTCCCTCAGAAAATAACGGGAGCAGATTTTTTCCAACTATAAATAATGTTGGAAAAATTAAGCATCCATGAATGCTTGTTTTTGCACATGGCAAATAATGAGTGTTCACGTTTATGAACAATGTCCAAATAATATTTTTCCTTTTTTTCACTGTCTTGACATTAAATTGAAGTAACATATGGTCAATCCTAATGTGTGAAACATATCGCTGTTTTGAGGATGTTAAGGGCACTTATGTGGGAACAAATGTTATAATAACCAGAGTTTCTCTTTACATTTCCTACTTTTGGGTCCATAAGAAATGCCTATTTGGGTTTGTGGGTGTTAATAGTTTTTTGTTTTTAATCTGTATTTTCAGTGTATTGCATTTTTCTCTACAGAAATGTGATGTACTTTGGGAAGATTTTCACCAAAAGCTGGTAGATGGGTCATTGCTAACCCTGGATACGTATTTGGGACAGTTTCCTGATATAAAGGTAGTATCATGCCTCTATGTGTCTTAGGTCAAATAGTTAGCAATAGAAACAGAAATATTCTATTTGGGAAGAAGACCATTTGAGACTTACAGTTGCCAGCCACTATTCATGCTTCATAGACGCTTTCTTCCAGCAGTTTAAATTTAATTACAAGAAGACAAACAAGGAGAGTTCCGTATTAACCCCCTTGGCTAGAAGAAGCTCCCTTTAGAAATTTACCTTCAACCTTAAACCGTTGAAAAGACTGGGGATACTAGGTAGGATGGAGACAAAGGGATTTTTTGTTTTGTTTTGTCTTCTCACAAGGTGTAACTAAATTTTGAAATGCTTAAATAAGACTAGTAATGCGCCTGATGTTTGCTCAATTCCTGTGACTGTTTTACATTGAAAAGGGTAGAAAATTGCAACAGAGATTCTGCCCCGCTCACACAGCAGTCTTGCATTTCTGGACTCCATGTACGAGGCCCAGGTGTGTCACATGTATCTCTTGAGCAAGATCAAAGGTGAAACCATCTGGTTTTCTTTATGGCATACTATAATCTGGTTTATGTACAGTTTATCTCTTTGGGGGCAGGGGGGTTGTAAATGGAAGATGACTTGTTTTAATATGTGGAAAGGTCCAAGTAACCATTTGCTCCATGCTGGCTGTACAATTCTTCTGGTTTATCCAATAATATTTTGCATAGTAGCTGTCTAGATTGACATCATGCTTTCCTGAAGGACATTCATGGAACTAAGATTGATAATTGAAAAGGGATTTACTACATGTTTCTCATGCTAGGATAACTTTGAATCTTTAGTTTATTAACTAAGTCCCTGTAAAGTCATTGTGTCAGCTATGGCAGCCCTGGGCAGTATGTTCTCCTAACATCTGGAATAGTGCATATAGAATTTTATATCACCTTCTTTTCTTTTAGTTATTTGGCTTCTGGATATACTCACCAACCTGACACAAGAACAGAGACTGGCCAATGAGTTTTGTGTTAAACATCTTTGTTTAGCCCTATGAGGTAGTCCAGACAAGTAGCATACCCAGGAGTACTAGCTCTATCTTTATTGTAAGGTTATATTAACAGAATCTTGAAAGTCTGAAAGTACATCTCTTCCCCTGTTACCTTTACAGTCCAAGAAACTAGGGAGGGTCCATTCTGAGACATTTGCTATGCCCCCATTCCTTCTGCGGGCTCAGCTGCCTCTTATCTGACCATTGCCTAGTCTGTGACTCTTCCTCCTATCTCCCAAGGTCATTCCCACATATCATTACACCTAACCCTTCCATTTCTGAATGTTCTTAAACCATTCTGCTGCTTTGTTTGAGTTTAAATTTTGGATTAAATATTTAATTTTGAATATTCTAAATATTACATTGCCTCTATTCTGTTGTATATTTTATGTGTAATACTATTTTAATGCTTATAACAAATGAATAAATGGCAATAACAACACTACTTTTTAAGAGCTAAAGTACACTTGTGATTATTTTTGTTGATTGGTACACACTGCTGAAAATTAGGCCCAGAATACAGGTAGTCCTCACTTAACGACCATTTGTTTAACCACAGTCCAGAGTTACGACAGCCTTGGGAAAAGTGCTTTACAACCTCCGTGGTCACATGATCACAATTTGTGACTTTTTTATGATGGTCATTAAGTGAATCACAGCAGTCATTAAGTGAGTTACATGGTTGTTAAGCGAATCACATGGTCATTAAGTGAATTCTGGCAAAAATGTCCATTGGGGAAGTTGGATTCATTTAATGACCATGTGATTTGCTTAATGACCACAGTTATTCATTTAATGACTGTCGTAAAAAATGTCATAAAATCAGCTCCGATTCACTTAACAACCAAATCACTTAGCAACCTAAATTCCAGTGCATATTGTGGTCGGATAGCAAGGACTATCTGTACTTTGGTGATGGTGTTATTTTTCTATCTTTGGAGAATATTTTATATGTTTTCAATAAAGTCTGAGGCAGCAAATTTTAAATTGCATATTAAATAATCTGATATGAAATTTTAGAAATTGAATCTGGGGGAAACAAAGTTATGTGGCATTTGAAACCGTGTGTCTTCTTTAGTAAAGCGTTTTTCAATTAAAAAAAACAATTTGTATGTCTGTTTAAAAATACTATTTTTGTGGTCCTCCTATCATTTTTATTCTCATAACAACAACTTTGTAAGGTAGATTAGGGAGAGAGAAAATGATAGTTCAAGTGGCTGGATGACTAAAAGGGACTTGAATCTGGGTCTCCTTGGTTCCAGTCCAACATATACCACACTGGGTTTGTTTTGAAGTGATGGAAGAAAGTCAGAATAATTTTTTAAGGCAGAAAAGTTCTTCTCGGATACCTTGTACGCACTGTGCTTGTGATTTTTGACTTGGACATCACCTTTTACAGAATCGCATTGCAAAACGGAGCAGGAAGCTAGTAGACTATGACAGTGCACGACATCATCTGGAAGCCTTGCAAAGTTCAAAAAGAAAAGATGAAGGGAGAATTTCCAAGGTGAGAGAGAGAGAAAAAGATGTAACTATATTATAATCTTTATAAGAGATGCAGGGTGTGAATGAAATTAATTTCTGCTAAGTGCTGCTTGGGCCACCAATATTGTGAGGAATGATGCTAGTGAGGTAGGAACCAGCAGTTCCCATGCGAGAAAGAACTGTTGGGTTAGCACTGAGCAGGTTCTCAACAAGGCCAAGAGACAAGGACTGTATCTGTTGATTCAGAAAGGCAGGAGGAAAAGGTTAGGATTAAACTTGGGAGTGCAGATGTATACATAGTTTAGCAGCTGTACTGCAGATAAGTTTGTGTGCATGCATGTGTGTGTGTGTGTGTGTGTGGCTTCATTCTTGTTTGCATTAAAGAGACTAACAGTGTTGTATCTGTAAGCCTTCACTTGAGTAAGCCAGATACTGACTAAGGGATTAGTGAGAGCCAATGATGCCTGTGATAAACTTGATAAATATCACTATTTGCAGTACATTGATGGCATACCACAGATAGCCAGAAGTTAAGATGTCCATAAGTGCCATCTAGATCATGCCTCTGGTTAGTGTTTCCAAGTGAAATAGCATTTTCTCTTCAGCATTGCATTGGAAGTGGGTATGTGGATGACACATCACTGTGTTCTGAGTTTAGACCAATTCAGAGTCACCCTCTGGGGGAGATGGGCGGCATATAAATTTAATAAATAAATAAATAAATTTTGTGGGAGATCCTTCCCAGATGTGTTAGACTGTCTTTTCCTTTTAAAGGAGCTTTACTCCTGATCCATCCGTGCATTTCCTTGGCAACAGTACAGGAGTGGCTTGTCCCTGTCTTCTGAGATTTTTTTTTTTCAACTTCTCAGCCCAGCCTGTACTGCAGAAATCCCTTTATGGTCTTCCACCCAAGTGCTAACTAGGCCAGACTGTTTAGTTTGGGGGAATTATGACACTCACAATGCAACACTTCCAAAAGACAGCATGTTAGGGAAAGCTGATAAAGCTCATGGAGTAATATCAAAATATCACATATCAGATCAAATATAGCTGGGATGACTTCACAAAGACAGCAAACCTTAGCACGGGTGCTAGTCAGATAGCTGCAGGGCAAATATTTTTTGCAGTTTTCAAATAAAATTACAGAAGGCCAGTTCTCCTTACAGGAAAGAGAAAGTTTGCAAATTGTAGCCTTATTTTTGCTCTGCTTTAAGTGATTGATTAATTAATTAATTAAAGTGGCATGCTTACTTCCTGGGAGGGATGGAGATGCGCTTCAAGATGTCTCTATCAGAGCTTGAAATGTTTAGTCTTGGATGTTCTTCGCTTTGATAATGGAAGTGAAAGCATCACTTGCTGTGCAGCCTTAGGAGGCAAAGTATCTTGAACTGACCGTGTTTTAAATAATTACATTTGTGGGGAACATAGCTTTTATAAAGATGGTAGCACATGGGAAGAGAAGGCTTAATGTTTCCCTTTACAGCTATGATTTCTGCCTGCAAAAAAAAAAAAAAAATCCCATTTGCTGGACTGCAAGCCTTATTTTAAAAAGTTCCCACAGGCATTAAAGGACATTTTCTCATTAAAGCTTTATTGCCATGCAGAGTTATTTTAAGGGATCAGAACTGGAGAAAGAAGGGATAAGTTATTAACACACACACACACACACACACACACTTGTTGTGATTCTGAATTGAGATCTTTTGCGACAGTAACTTTTTCTTTTTTTAAGAGACTTATTGTATGGTATGCCTAATATGTAGGTTTGGCTCTAGAGTTTAAGGGTAACCCAAGCCAGAGTCAGTAACATGCCACTCACATTCTGAGTCACCTTCAGATGGCTTCCAGTATACCCCAGCATAATAAAAATTATCAGCAATTTAAAAAAAATAAAAAATTGCTGACATCTGACATGATTTACAAGTCTTAAATTTGTTCAGATTTAAAGCAAGGAAGCTGGAATCTCATTAGATCTCAGGGGTAAGATTAACAAAATCTCAGAAATTTTAATCTTGTCATGACACTGGGGAATTCTTCAATTTCTTTTCCTTTTTTTTTTTTTTTGTCCCTGACACCTGAAAAAAATAGCCAACCCCTGGATTAAACTCTCAGACTGCCTTTTTGTCAAAAATTCCAGCTGTCCTTAAAAGGTGTAAAAACCCAAAGAAATCCCACCAGAAATAATATGCTGCATTGTTCAGAGCTGTTTTGCTTCTCCCAACTTCACCAAAAAAGCTTGCTAGGTATTTCACTTTGTTCTAGGCAGAAGAAGAGTTTCAGAAAGCACAGAAGGTATTTGAAGATTTTAACACTGATTTGCAAGAAGAACTACCATCTTTGTGGTCAAGGTATATTGTTTGGAAAGTTTATTTGCTTCTTTTTATTTTCCAAAAGCTTTAACAAGTTAAGTTGTTTCTCTGTGATCTGTCAATGGCATCTTTGTACCCTTAGAAAAATTCACTTGGCTGTTGTAGCAGTCATTTTCTTATTAACACAATAAACCATGTAACATTTGATTCAAAAGTGGAGTTTATTGAGAAACTAAATTTTGATTTTATTCTCATTAGGACTGTTGGAGACATCTTAGATCTAATTCCCTAATGGAACAAACAAAAGTAATGAAGACAAAGGGGCAAACCTTGGACTTCCATAGTTGCTTCATTGACATCCATTGTGTAGGGCAAGTCCAAGCCATAGGGATCCACACTGTGGAGATAAATGTATCTAACGAAAGCTTAACTTAAGCCAGTATCTTGCTGGAAATTTGGGAAGAGGGAGGTTGTTTGCCCATATATGTGTAAGATCTTTTACATTTTCAGGATTCTTGGAATAAGAATAAAACATGGTGTGTCCATATACAATATGCTTTTTTTTCATTCTTTTTCTTTCTTTTCTTTTTTTACAAACTTTTCATCTTTATCTGTCATTTCCACTTAGGCGAGTGGGCTTTTATGTGAACACGTTTAAAAATATCTCCAGCCTTGAAGCCAAATTTCACAAAGAAATAGCTTTGGTGAGTAAAATTATATATGCATTGTAGAGGTAAGGTAGGGGAATGCTATAACTGGATTAAAAAATAGAGCTGAAGAAATACATATTTAATCTGTAGCTGCAGCAGTCTCTTTTTATGAGTAAAAATGATTACTATAATTTTAATTATTGAAGAAGACTAGATTAATGGTAAAATTATTATAGCAATATCTATCATTTGTTGAGTTGGTTTCTCAGCTTTGTTGCCCAGGTTGTGTGGTTAAGCTATGCTGGTTGTTTTTTATCTTGGCTCCTATATTTGTTATTTATTGTTTTTTTATTATGTTTTTATCTTGTTTTTTATTTTCTGTTAGGCACCAGAGTGATATGCATGAGTTGGGCAGCTGTGTAAATTGAATGAATGAAAATGAGTGAGTGAGTGAGTGAGTGAATGAATGAATGAATGAATGAATGAATAAGAACTTACTAGATGATGTGATAATAATGAAACAAGTATGCTTTCAGCAACTGAGGTTTAAGATAATTATGCTTCTCAAGCCAAGAAAACTATGAATATTTTGAATGACTATGAATTTACTCCATACAGTAGAGTAAAATGAGCTTACCACCATGATTGCAAAAGTCAGCCTAGATTAATTCTCTTTTCACAATAGATATAATCTGCAGGATTTTGGATTTAATACAAGTTTCAATAATGCCACATAATCAAATCTTATATAAAATACTGAAATACATCCCTGCTTTGAAACTATAGAGACCTTTTAGATGTTTCTTTCCATAATAGAAGATGTGTAGTAGTTTGGGTTCTGTGTATGGTTCTAACATTTGAATCCATCCTATACATTTGTACCTAAAATCCAGCTGAATTCATTAGGGCTGACTTCTGCATAGATGCCAATTCTGTTTGCTAGGTTCATCTGTACCCAAACTATTTCCATTTACACATACACATTGCAGTTGTTATGGTGATGGAGATAAGACATAAGAGAACCTGACAGTTCTGCTTACAGCACTATTCACTTTGATCTTGTTGATCATGTCAAATTGTGGAATATCCTTAGGACAATGGGAATCCCGGAACATCTGATTGTCCTCATGCAAAATCTATACACAGATCAGGAAGCCACAGTTTGGACAGAACATGGCAAAACAGATTGGCTCCAGATTGGCAAAGGAGTGAGACATGGCTGTATACTCTTGCTGTATTTATTTAACCTATATGTTGAATATATATTGGAGGAGGCTAGATTGGAAGATGAGCATGGTTTTAAAATTGGACGACAAAACATGGTTTTAAAATTGGAGGACAAGAGATAACACTTCTCTGATAGCTGAAAATGCAAAGCTCTAGTAATAAAAGTCAATGAGCACAATGAAAAAAATGGGACTTCAATTAAATATAAAGAGGACTAAACTAATGACAGCAACCAGCCAATGAAGAAATATGAAGTGGTAGATAGCTTTTACCTTTTAGGATCGACTATCAGTAGTGAAGAAACAGTCAAATAAATATGCCACAGACTGGCACTCAGTAGAGAAGCCATGAAGGCCTTGGAAAAGATACTCAGATGCTGTGATGTGTCTAGACCTGTGAAGATCAGAATAGTGCAAGCAGTGGTATTGCCTGTGAGACTCTATGGAAGCAAACGTTGAACTTTGAAGCAGCAGGATAGAATGAGTTTTGAACTTTGATGTTGGAGAAGACTCCTGAGAATACCATGGACAGCCAAGAAAACAAACAAATGAATAATTGAACAAATCAATCCAGAGTTCTCACTCAAGGCACAAATGACCAGGCTCAGATTATCCTACTTTGGACATATTATACAAAGACTTAGTTCTCTGGAGAAAGTTCTAATACTGGGAAAGGTAGAAGGAAAGAGAAGGGTGGTGGATGGACTCAGTTACAGTGGCAATGGGTGCACCATTAGAAGGCCTCAAGGACAGATTTGGGGACAAACCATCATAGAGTCAATGTGTTTGCTAAGAGTTGACACAGACTTGATGGCACATAAATCGATCGCTTTATAAACTAGTTTCTGGCTAATGCAGTTAATGAAATGAAGTGCCCTGATTTAAAATGCACAGACAATGCTTTTAGCTAGGAAATATACAGGCACTGTGATAGACCTGGATACATCCCCTTTTTTCCATAATTTTTAAAGTATTGTATCCAATAAGATAGAAGGCATATACAATGGGAGAAAAATAAATTGTTAATGTTTTTCCATTACTTAAGGTTACTATATCTAGGCTGCAAAATTTGGGGTGTCCACTAGATGGCAGCATGGCAGTACAGAAAACTTGAATTCTTTCCTGCCATCTGGTGGTCATCCAGATTTTTCAGATCAGATTAGGGTACTTTTATCAGTACATCTGTTTCTATTTTAGTGGATTCAGTATTAATTGCATTCAATATTGAATTGGACTCATCTGCAGTGACCCCAAACTATTAATAGCTGCAAACCCCAAATCACAAACTATTAATGCCTGCAAAGCAGGGACTATAGTTGATTTCTGCTGCCCATTTAAATTTTGTATCTTCAGATTTTGATCCTGCAGGCAAAGGCATGTTTAGATCTGATGTAGTGAGGAAGATCTTTCCAAATAAACTCCAGTGCTGTAACATTATTGTGTTGGCCTTGATTTTTTCTTCAAGTTAAATGTGTGTCTTTATATGAGGTTGAAATTGGCACATGCCCAAAGGTGTAAGTAGAGCTTTCTGGGCTCTGTTTCCGAAAAGCATATCTCTCAGATGGGGCTTCCCAATGGTGAAAAAACTCAGGCATCAAGCTCCCTCTGGGCTATGGCAATTCAGGGTGGTTGGGAGAAAGGGAATTGGAATGCAATATGGCTGTTTCTTCTAGGCTGCACCAGCAGGACTGAACCCCACAAAACTCTCCCCAAGTATTCCACCTCCTCCTTCTCCTCTCATTAGAATACATCCACGGATGAGCACAGTATAGGCTATCCTCCCACTTCAGATGCATGAAATCTCCTAAGCATGGTTTATAAGGGCTGCAAACATTTGGATGACCACTAGACGGCAGCAGTAATCTAGTGGTCTACTTTGCTGCCATCTGCTGATCATCTGGAGTGGCTGCTTCAATTTGTTAGCCAATTTTCTTTCCTCTTGTTACTTAACAAGGAAGAAGGAGGAGAATGAGTAGAGGACTGGCACCAGTTTCCTAGAAAGGTGCCCAGATCTCCAAGGGCTCCACTTCTAGTGCATTTTCAAGATGCTAATGCCACAACAGATTTAGTACTAGAAGAAGAGGAGGTGGTAGTACTAGCACACTCTCATTCCCTCTCACTCACTCCTTTCATTTGTGCTGCTGCTGTTCTGTGCTTGGGCTACTGTGTCTGGGCTGCAAACATCTGATGTGGCAGCAAACAGAAGTAAAAATTTGTAACCCCTCAATGCGATCTAGTGGTTGTCTGGATTTTGCCATTCAGATACGATAACCCTACTCCACACAATCAAATTTGTTGAAGGTGTGAGGCGGGAAGTAGGCCACAAGGGGGACCCCAGTGGGCCCTCTGCTTGTGGGCCCCTAGGCAGCTGTCTCCCCAACCTTTCCTATATATTGTAGATAACAAAATTGTAACTGATTTTGTTAGATTTTAGAGTTGATTAAAGCAACCCTGTCTAACTGTAATTTGAGATTAATAATCCTGAGGCGCTAAACCTAAAAAGGATCTTGTTTTTGTATTGTTGAAGGCTTTCACGGCCGGCATACGATGGCTGGTGTGGGTCTTCCGGGCTGTGTGGCCGTGGTCTTGAAGTTTTGTTTCCTAACGTT